CTCACTAAAGCGTTTCCGATGAAATATAGGACCAAGCTTGAGTCAAAGCTATTTAGCAAATTCAAGTTTAAAGTCGAGGCCATAACAGACTTTACGGAAAGTCCATATTTTAATTTGTTATACGGCAAGATGCTGGATGAAGAGGTTATCGAAATTATTTTGCCGAGATCACTACCCCAAATCCAAAACATTTTTTAGCTCTGCAATACAACGACTTTGGAAAATTTATTTAAATTAGCAACTAAGTTCAAAAAACGACGCGTGTTAGGAATAAACATGCAGAGGCAAAACTGGGCAAGGTGTTAGACCAACGCCTCATCGTAGGTCACAGTTTCGTCAGAAGAGACAAGTTGATAGAAGAGGAAAAGTTTCAACTCTGAATGGCAGTCCTCCCAAAAAAGGGCAAAACAAAACAAAAAATGAGGGAGGATTTAAATTAGGAAGGTGTACTGAAGACAAGAGGGTACAGTTATCTCGGAATCAAGAAAATGCCTTAAAATTTCACTTAAACACCGTCATAGAGAAAAGTCTGGATGTGCCAGTTGTGCAGGTGTTACTAAACAATGTCCCCGCCGAAGCATTGATCAGTACAGTTCACTGCAGCGTTATGTCCAAAGCGCTTTTTCGGAAATATTTTAGAAAATATAGACGCTTCAATTTAGGAAGGGAAAAAGGTATTGCCGCCCAAGGCAAGCAGTGCACATACATAGGTAAGGTATTATTGCATATACAAGTTAAGAGTCGTGGTTAACGACGCTAAGTGCCGTAACGAAGGACCCTGGTTCGCATCCAAGAGAAGGAATGGATGTTTGTAAATGTGTAGTGTCTGTGCGGTATGGGGGCACTCTAAATATGTGTGGAACCGAAAGTATTCTCGAAAGATCGGTGGTAGGAAAAGAGGGGTGGGAGACCATCAGATCCGTCCTCTCGAGATGCTCTTCATCAAAACTGGGGGCGAAACTGACCAAAGTCGTATTGTCACCTGTATGGTGCTCAAGGCTCTTGCCAACGACAGATGCAATCTTGCACTCTTGGCTACTTTGAATTTCGTGGGCTTGTTCTGATGCTACTGTGAGAAGACATGTGGGATAAACAACAACAAGTTAAGGATGAACAATTACCGTATTTGACGGCATATAAGACGGACTTTATTTTCCTAAATTTGTTCTCAAAAAAGTTACCTGCGTCTTATACGTGAAGGACACAGTCTTATACGTGAAGGTAATTGCATTCAATAATTGTTTATTTGGCTTTTACGAAACGTGAGAACTAAAAGAAACCACGCTATTGAAACTTTTTTTCTTTGTGTGTGGCCGTCTTATATGCCAGTGCGTCTTATATGCCGTCAAATACGGTAAAAGCTATTTTCTTTGTCGTGAGAAATCTTCAAGCTGCCGTAATTTTAGTGCTGTAACTTTCATTATCTTAATTTTCACCAGTTTTTAAACTAGAAAAACATTATTTTCCTTTAGAAGATCTTACTCTTTACTACAATATGGACACAAGTACTGCTCATTCCTGAATTTTCTCGCTTAAAATTTTTGAACAGATTTTCTGTCTTTCTCATCCCGGCCTTTCAATCTTATTTAAAATCGGACTTCAATTATTTAAAATCGGACTTCAATTATTTAAAATCGGACTTCAAGCTCAACAAAACTAATCACTAAGTGATACTTTTGGCCTAACATGAAGAAATTTGCTAAAACTGCCGTTCAGTCTTACCTACAATGGCAACGTTCTAAAATTCATAGACATTCAAAATCACCTTTGAGTATTTTTTCTTTGCCCGATGCAAGATTTGCAAATATCCGTATTGATTTCACAGATCCTCTTCCACCATCTGAAGGTAATATTTATTGCATGACAATCAGTGATCGCTTCGCTTTACCAGCTGGCCAGAAGTTATACTTACTTGCTCACATGTCTGCTCAGATCACTTGTAAAGCGTTAGTAACTGGATAGCTAGATTTAGTTGACCGTAATCAATAATAACTGATCAAGACCGAAAGTTTGAATCTTACTCATTTAAGGATTTGATGAAGGTTTTGAGTATACACCCCATTCGAACTCACGCTTACCATCCTTATGTCCAATGGACAAATTGAAACTTCTTATAGCCAGCTTAAAAGTTCAATAATGGCTTATAATAACCTAAAATGAGCGAAATTCTGCCAATAGTTTTGTTGGGTTTAAGATCTGCCATTAAAAATAATCTAAAAGCTACACGTGTCCAACTTATTTACGGTACTACACTTAGATTACCCTCAGATATGCTAAATGCTACTAACTCCGTGCATCCTTTTTAACCCTGTGTTTCAGCTTCGATCAGTCAGGCATTCACTTATACTAACATACTCAGCCATCAGCCATCAGTTTATGTACAGCATATTCAGCTATCAATTTATGTACACCCAACTTTCCAAACCTGTTCTTATGTATTTCTAAATACCTATTCTGTTAAGCCCTCACTAACTCCACCTTACACCGGACCTCACGTCGTTATTAAACGAACGGGCAATAATTTTATTATTGAGGTCAATAACAAAAATAATACAGTTTCAATCGATCGATTGAAACTAGAGTATATGTTGTCGGATGTATGTGTCGTATATATGATGTCGAATGTAATTATTATACACCTGCAATTCCTCATAGTCCATATATTCCATACTAAATCTGTGAAGACTGAAACATTGCTTGAAAAGTAACAACTACTCGCAGTGGACGTCATGTTCATTATCCCAAAACTTTAATCAGTGTTGATATATCTGAATATTTTTCTCTTATTTATCTGTAATAAAAGTTTAGCATATGAACATGATTAATTTTTTGACATATATTTCAAAATTGCTTAAAATTTTTATTTTTCTGACTTTCCCTTATTTTTATTTCATTATAACATGCATTAGTATCGTTAAATATTTCATTTAGCATTTAATGTAATATTATTACTTGTTTGTATACCTTTTATTTTGTTTTATAAGTACACAGCGAAAAAAAAAAAAATCTCCCGTTCTACTGGGCTGATTGATGAAATTCAAATTGCGTTTTCCATGTCTCGAAAGAGCGATTTAGGATATATATTAGATTTACTATATAGCTGCGTTCTAACATAGGTATTTTGACACAAAATCGGACTTTTTCTGAAATAACATACCAATTTTTTTTCATATTTCGATTCTACGACTCATATTATACCTACAGTTATTAAATTTTTCAATTTTTGGCGAGAAATTTAAAAATTTATCTCGGCCAAATTTTTTGAAGTTTTCGCCAAGAATATTTCACTTGGCGAACTTCTTAATTTATAGCAACCTATTTTCCCTTCCTTTTTCTTCATTGTCCACGAGCGGGAAAAAGTCGTCATTCATACTTTAAAATAATTTAACAAAGTGAGTAAACCACATTTTCGTTATTATCGCTTATAATAAATACGCAAAATTTCAAAACGCGCCAAAATGTAAATTCACGTATATCTTAGGAAATTTTGAATAAAAAACTCTAAATTTTTGCAGGTAGGCTTAGGATACATCTACTTTAAGGTGATGGCAAAACTTTTATAGGTTATAATTCAAAATATGTTTTGAAAAATTTATAAACATTATTTAAAAATACAAATTTAAAAAATAAATCATAAAAATAGACCAGTTTTATTTGGAATGAACTTAATTTCGAAATATGAAAGGAAGAATCGAATAAGTTTAATAAAAAAAGAGATATTAATAAATATATATCAAATTCAATTAACAGGGAAGAGCTAAAAATTTGAGGAATAATATTTTAAAAACTACTCGTGTGATTTTTTCAAAACTCGGGAGTTCGGCAAAATTCGAAGAATCGAAATATGGACAAATATTGGCATGTCATTTCAGTCCGATTTTGCGTCAAAATACCTATATTAGAACAATGCTATATATATAAATCTAATACATATCCCAAGTGGTGTTTTCGAGACATGAAAAACGCAAGTTAAATTTCGTCGATCCAGTAGAACGGGAGATATAGAACTGTTCCTCCCCTTTTTTTGCGCAGTGTACCTTTTAACGTATTGGAATGTGTGTATCTCTTATTGGAATTCCATGTAATCAACCTCTTCTTTTGTTTCGTGACTATGTCACTGGGGACTATGCTTTGTGGTTATCTCATGTTCAGCTGAGTGAGCTCCCAGTTGACATTACATTGTTTCGCAAGTGTTGCGTACGCCACCAGCTGACAACACATTGTCTTTACCATCAGGTCTGTAAAATTTGAATATTGAGTAGCAGCTTCCGTATTTTTATGAATAAACTGTGCTAATAAAATTTATTTTTTTAGCAACTGGGAATCATATCTTGTAAGAACCAACACCGAGTCACGTCTAAAACTCTTACAGTACCATATGAAAAAATCAAAACTCTATAATTTCTACTCATAGAAAAAAATTATATGCGAGGAAAGAGCTGAGACATAGATCATTGGTATACTGAATAAACATTTTTGAAATGACTTGAAATCAAAGAAGTCGTAATCTACCAATTATCTGGGCAAATACTTCCACTGAATTTGCGCACACTTTAGAGAGACTGGAAAAGACAAGAACAAATTTAGTAACTGTGCGTATTTTTATGAATAAACTGTGATAATAAAATTTAAAGTGTACGGTACAACTTGTTCTCCGTAATAATTGCAATTAAATCTTGGCATGATTTAAAAAAAATAGATTTGTTATTTATTTCTTTTATTATCTATGACAAGGTTACCTTTTCTTCTTTATACATCATTCAATGTTTACACATTTTTGTAGATTATCCATTTGTCTTGTAATCCGTTTGTCCATTTTCTAGCAAAGAGATGTAAGATAGCGAACCAAACTTCCGGTCCCTTGTAGTTCGCTATATCAGACTTCGATTGTAACTGGCATTGTATAACTAATTAATATGCTGATTTCCAACTTAAAGTAGAGTAACGCGGTTAGGAAAAGAAACAAATAAAATATCAAAAAAGAATACACAGACACTCTATAGGATTTGTTCGAATTTTATTGGCTTTTAAACATTGCATTTTTTATAGTAATACCAAAAGGTTTGACAATAACACCCTGTGTTTTGAAAACATACGTAAGTTTCCTTTCTAACAGAGTTGAAGATATTGCTATCAGTGTACCTTCAGTACGAACTTTGTACAATGCTATCAGGATAAGGTAAACCAGAAGAATGAAAAAGATAAAAGCAGAAAATTGTAAATTAAAAGTAAACCTTACTTTTTGTTCACAAATATTATTTGGAGATTTTATGAGAAAATTACCGAACATCTGTTAGACAAGCTGTTAAACAGAATACTGGGATATTTTAAATGTTATGTAACGTTGATTTCTAAATTTTTTATTTATTTGTTTAATGACTGGGTTAGGAGATTTTGAACGTCTGCACATTTATTTGTTCGTTTAATTTTTATCTTGTCATGTATCCCTATTTTTTACGGTAAATATCTGTCCAAACATGAGCAAATTTAAATTAGAAATTAACTAAACATTAGGAGAGAAGAAACGCGATTATGGTTTACTTTTTGGTTATATTATATTTAAAATGTTCGCTATCACCTGTCGTTCTTATGGCTGACGTATGACCCATTGAAAGATTCATCTTCTGTGAAAAGTCATTTCCCGAATTTTCATAATAATTGAAGATAAGCCTAGAATATAATTATATTATAATCTAAATCTCAAAGTATGTTTTCACTAATTTTAACGTTGCTAAAATAATTCATATTCAAAATGTTCTGAGTTCAATAAAACTTGTTCTCCGTCTTAGAAGAACGTAGAGTAAAAGGTAAATACTTTTACACACTGACGGGATGTGATACATACGCCAACAATGCTTCTGTATACTGACCGAATGTGACATGTATGTGAGGAAATGATTTTACGTATTAATGAAATGTAATATATACAGAAAAGAATGTTTTTACATACTGACAGAATGTTATACAAGCGTAAAATGCTTTTATGTATTGATGAATTGTGTTGTACGCAAAAGCAGTATGTAAAAGTGTCTTTAAAGAAATGGAATAGACGGGAATTTTGAATTATTGTTTTAAAGGTTATAAGGTATTTCTCCCATTTTCCTAGCGTGCTTTCGTGGTGTAGTTCTGCACGCTGGGCCGGTATTCCAGAGGTCCGCGGTTCGATTGCCGGCGAAGGCGGTTGCTAATTTTTCACCTCTCCGGCCTCGAAATAACCTAATGTCTCTACAAGGTTTTTAGCTGCATAAATATTCATTAAATAGTCAACTGCGCAGACAACTCGTCTTTTTAACGACTTCATTAAAAGACTGACATAAGCATGGATTTATATAACACTCATAAAATTATTTCCGGCAAATCAATACAATCTTTTCAGAAGAGATCAAAATTCAGCAGTAATTTTAAGAGAAATAGAGAAAATATTTGTTTTACGAAGTATAGAGACCATATAGAGAAACTGAAATTCTAGCCATTGGGCTAAAACTGCAGATTTTCTATCTGGTTCAATATTCTGCCAAGTAAATAAAATATCCTTCCGCTAATTTTCAAAATTACGCAATTATTTCTGGTTTACCTTATGCTCACCATTTTGTTTACATCTTTTCTTACTACAAACAAGATATTTACATTTTCCGTAAAGATGAAAGATCTTCAGATAAAAGAAAGCAGCAGTGATTTATTACCTTGAAGTACATGTGCTACTATGTTCTTATTGCTTATCCTTAACCGTAATGGAAAAGGTTGCTTATCGTTCCCTGATTTTTCACATTTACGGACATGCTCTTTGAAAACTTATTCCTGTACAAATAATGCTTGATCAACTTGAAAAAGCCAAACTAAACAACCGCTTCTTCCCAACGCATTGCAATATTTTACAACATCTATGTTTAACAATCTAAATAAAAATAAAATACTTTATACCAATCATTAAATTTACAGAATATGATAAACCAGAATGTCATAAAATTTCATTGACACTGATGGAAAACATTTTAACAGCTACATGAAGATTTAGCTTTCATTTTCCAATTATTTAATAAGTTTCAAATATTCATTCAATAGTTTGTTTAAAATAACGCAAAATCCTGATTACCTGAAGTAATATAATTATAGTTTTGCCTTGAGTAATACAGCAATGTATTTAATACAAGGCTCAGACGATCAGGATTCTGAGTTACTAGCAAATGATGCCAGCTTTACTAAAAGATTTTCCCAAATTGTTGCAGTGGGATTTTCATTCATTCGTAAAGCATTATTCTAATTTAAAATTATCACGACTGTATTAAATTCTCCTTAAATACAACTAAATTTTTAAATACACATGCAAAAAGAATTCAGATCTGAAAGGAAAGAATAAAATTTTACAAAACCTCAGATATTATGCATGCTATGAGATTTCACGCATAGTATATAAGATTATACTTTACGATTATGTTTTAAACACTGTACTGATTCGAGAAATAAATTTCATATATATATATTAACAATAGCCGAAAGCGACAACAAAATATCAATCTCATTTTTTCTATGTACAGAACTTACAAAAGAGAAAATAAATTGAATGGAATGAATGTTTGATTTACATTGAAAGTTCAATAGGAAATGTAAACATACGAACATGCAATAATATATGCAAGAATTGGGAAAAAAGCGGCCATATTTATCCTGGTGGTTGCCATATCACAAATTCTGAGTATTTACAACTTTGGTCAGAATTCCCAGAGTAACAGTTCTGTTTGAAATATGAACCAAATACCTACTTTAATTGACTTGAAATTTTATATTGTCTCCTATCTTAATCAAGAATTAAGAAAATTTGGAAGCTATGATATTGCTGTCAACACAAATGCGATTTTTGTGCTGTATTTATATTTTTGTTCACATTTTTTACGATACTATTCATTCTTTTTAATATACACAGTTCGTCTACAGAGTTTAAAGAGTTCAGTTCGTCCAGAGAGTTTAAAGAATGTATTCATAGAAAAACTTCAAATAAATGCATAAAAATAAAAATGCAGTTTCTGTAACAGCTGAGTACATAATACATGATGATAGAAATATAGTTTAATATAGGCAATATTGCTGCACATACTTCAGTTAATATAAATTAATATTATTTTTTCAACATGTTTTGCATCTTACAGAGTACAGGCGTTTTTTATAACTTTTAGCGAGGTAAATAGCAGTTTTCTAATTGGAATTTTCTTTGCAGACGATACATTTGAAAATCGAAATTCTGTATACTCTTGTAAAAGGTAACATGTTATCAAAATCGTAACACGAAGACCTACTTTATTTGATCCATTTTATGAACTATAGCCATGTCTCTATGAGAATTATTCAAGAGATATTTAGTGGTGAAATATTTCTGACACATCCTGCAGTTTACTGTTAAATATGCATGACTATAGCTTAATGGTTAAAATGCATGACCTTTTGAATAGTTTCAATAAATTCTTATGTTTTATACAAGTAAAGGGATTTACAGTTTCTGTTATTTAGATAAATATATTTTCATTAATATACAAAAAGCTTTTTCTTATTTTAGAGATTACGTTTCAAATATCAGCCTCTATACTTACAATAACTTCAGTAAGTCTCTTTTCAGAATTTCATACAGAACTGTTACTTTCTCTCTGTACCGTAACTATTTACAATATAACTTCTTTCATTTATCTTCAGACGAACACAGGATGAATCAGTGATAAAGTAATGCGAATTTATTTTTGAACAACACATAATTCAATGATAAAAAATACTAAAAGAAACTAATAAAAACATTTAAAGATCCATCTCACCAGCGAACTGATAATACAATCAAACTGAATGAAGAGGAAACTGAAAAAATTAAGTAGCAGTGCGAATGAAAATAAAGTGACATTTGTTGCATTTCTCAAAACGTACACTGAGTTGTTAATTTTTCAAATTGTTTTTACAATTATGAAACTGAAAACGTGCTGTACATATAAGACCAATGTACTGTTGCAATGAATGAGCGTTGTAATATCTTGGAAAAAATGAACCATTCTATGAATTTTATTCCAAATAATGACCTGTAAGTTTTGCATTCAATGTTTTTGGATTTAAAACTAAGCTATAACTGTTGTTTTACTTTCATTTCAAATGAAAAGATGCAACGCATTTCGAAAGAAACGATTACAAATTAATTTATAAATAAATTCTTCATGAACGTAAGAGTTTAAAATTACATTTCGGTATTAATTTACTTAGCCGTATTTAGTATAATTAATTTACTTAGCAGAAAAACAATAAAAAAGGTGAACTTACAAATGAAAATAACTTTATTTATTAAATTCATTCGTAAATAATCTTGAAATTTAAATGAAAATAGCACCATTGATACTGTCACATCAAAAACATTTATAGTATTTTCAGAGAACATTTTACCTTTTAAAAAACTTATAACTGAATATAAAATATACATATACATAAAATTATCTTGCAAAATAAATTTTGGAGGATATTGAATTAATTAATAATATTAAGAAGAAAGTCTTTGGAATAGAAAACAATGTTTTTAATCTTTGCATACTTTACTCCAAAATTGAAAGCAATGAAGTACATAATCATTTACTGCACACTAAAATTCATAATTAATCGCTTAATATAATATGTAGAATTAACTGGCAAGATCGTTAACTGTTTAATAAATATAGCGCACAGTATCATATCAAAATGTTTAAGTGACTCGACTATTTTAAATAGTCGGACTATTTTAAATAGTCGGAATGAGATAATAATATTCAAAGTTTCCTCCTCTTTCACAACATTGCAAATCCAAACATTTATATAATATTTGTTATAAATTATGGACTGAAATATAAATACTCTAAACAAATAAAAACATTAATAAAACCATGGCAGTGAAGTTTGAAAATAAGAACATCGATAAAAGTTTAAACAAATATATGAGATTTTGTTTCAGATTAAGAAAATAAATTTTGTACTGAAAGCTTTTATTACTTTACTTTTATTTCTAAATTGAATTCTTTATTTGTCATATTAAATACAGGATTTATTTAGAAATATTGATTAAAAATTTCATTTCACTTTATTAAGAGTGTATCACAAATTTTATGCAGAGACTTCATTTTATGAATTGCAGAGAAACAATGGCACATTTTACTCACTAAATAATAATAATATTCATCCACAAAGTAGTTGCTTTAACGCATTTAAGAATTAAAATTATATCTATGTTCTAACGTAAAAAGATTTTAAATTAAGAGTAGCATGATCTACACTTAGATGATGATATTGTTTAATGTTTCATTAATTCTACAGAATATTAACAGATTTTCTTTAATAGTTATGCAAAATATACTTCTACCCATGCATTTCATAGAAAGCAGTATTGTTAATTTATTTATTCTCTATCCAAAAGAACTAATTCAAAATAACAATGACGATACTTTCTAAAGTTATCTAAGAATATTCATAAAAATTATTTTCTAATCAAGAGAAAAGTCTCCGGATAAAAATGATTTAAAGCATGTTTTTAAGTTTTCGTGGGTTGAGAATGATGCAAAATAAAACAAACCTCTGAATGACGAACACTCACATATTTCACTTAAAATAATATATTTCTTTTAAAATTGTCAAAGTAAACAAAACTTTGAACCCTCTGTAAATAAATAACACGAAAGCTAAGAGAACGTCAATTTTTCTATGAATTATGAATTCAATAAATAAGAGATTTTTTCTGTACACAATACACAAAGACACAGATACGAAGAAGATAAGAATAACGGTAACAAACAAGAGCAGCACTCATTATCACTTCGTGAGTATTAGCTGGAAAAAGTCCCGCTTTCCCTACATAAATAAGTTAGTTGATTTTGCTATCACGTCAGATCAGTTTGCCATCACACATTCACCGTTGGGTCTGGGAATATGCATGGACACAGTAGAATGACAATCAGGGGACGGCGGGGCACTGCCCTCCTCACCGTTCACCATGATTTCTGACATGTCCTCGCTACCACTGCCGTCTAAATTACTGTAATCTTCAGATGACATGTAATCATAAACCTTATCCAGATCCATGCCTTCCAGAGGCACAGCATTCGGCCTGCAGGATGTTGTCTTCCAGTGCGTTCTCAGGCCAGACGCACTGATATATTTCTTCTTGCACGTCTGGCATGTATATGGTCTTTCATTGGTGTGTAAACGCTTGTGGAGTTTCAAATGCACAAACTGAGTGAACTTAGCCGGGCAAAGATCACAAGCATATGGTTTCTGGCCACTGTGTAATCGCAGATGTGTCTTTAGATTGCTTGTGCTACTGAAGCGTTTCTTGCACACTTCGCACTGATGGGGCTTTTCTCCAGTGTGTACCAAGTGATGTTTCTGAAGATGAGCAAGCTGCGTGAAACTCTTTGTGCACACCGAACACTTAAAAGGACGCTCACCGGAGTGGGTTCTGAGGTGTACTTTTAAGTTAGACAATTGTCCAAAGGTCTTCATGCAGATATTGCATTCGTAGTGCATTTTACCATCTTTTTTCTTCAATGGATAAGGAAGAGATCGATAACCGCGTGCACTGGAATGTGAACCAGACGAACCTGTAGGGCTGGTGCTGGTGCGGTCTCCCATCTGGTGATGGTATCCGTGACCATTCAACAGAAGAGTCCCTGTTTGTGGGGGTGATTGCGATGGATTCTGCAAATGATTATGGTTGGGGGATGTAATTCCATTTGTGTACGGAGATTTTGGCTTCAAGGGCACTCGCGACAGAAACTGTGTCTGAGGATGATGATGGTTTTGAGCATATTCTGCCGCTTTGGACCCGAAACCGTTAACTTGACCTTCTGATGATAAGGAATAAGCGTACATATTAAAATGCGCTGGTGAGAACATAGGTGGCATGCTGTAAACATAGCTTGCAGAAGATGCTGCTAATGGATATGGAGGGCTGTGCCTATTCAAGGCGGCTGAAGTTTTGTCTGTGGAATCAGGACTTCTCATTTCTGGACTTGATCCTCCATATTGCAGAGTTTGTCCTTTCTTTTGCGGATAAACGGGGAGAGGCAGTTCTGTTCTGGGTGGAGACTGATGAGTGCTACTGATTTGCTGATCCGATCTAGGTGAAGTATCATTAGATACAATTACTCGAACTGGTTCTGTTATAGGAGGAGGACGTGAATACGACAGGTGAGGTACACTGTCCAGAGGAGGTGACCGACACAATTCACCTCGCTGTCGAAGAAGCAAATTCTCCAGTATTCTCGGCGAAGGTGTTCCGTCCTGAGGGCTTAAATTTGGTGGAGAAATCCTTCCACTGTTAGGAATTAGTGATCTCAAAGCCTTTGCGGAACTACTTTCATAAGCTACGAATGCAGAATTTCCTCTTTTAGACAATCCATCATGCAGTCGAGAATTTGGGGATGCTTCCGTTGTTTCGTTAGAGTTTGGTCTTTGCACCTCTACAGTTGTAACACTCTGTTCTTGAGATGATAAAGTAGGGGTCACAATGACAGGTCTTTGAGGCGTCGTTAACTCTTTTTCATTCAGCGTTGAAGAAGAATATTGGGCTGTAGCGTTATCTCCATCCACTTCATCTTTCTTTTCTGTTTTGCTTCTGTAATGTAAAGCCTTAAACATTTTGAATTTGGCGTCGCGAAACTTTTTATAATCTTCATCAGCAACATCTTCACCATGACCTTCATTTGATTCTCTGGTTTTAGCCTCAGTACGTGATTCAAGGGCGTTAGAAGCTTTCTCCTTAGTGCTGAAGTCTAAAGCACAGTCTTCATCTGAGATGTCACCCTCTGGGGGCGTCAACGGATCATCGTGACTACCATGACTATGGTATCCTTCATCGCTGCGAGCGCAGCTGTCCTTCTCGCCTGCTTCTGTATTCGGGGGATGACCTTCTGAAGGCGGGTGGGGCAGATCAGGCGCTGAATTTTGCGGATAAGTATCATCTTCTTCTGTTACACGGCTCTCACTGCATGGCAAAGCTGATGCCGAGGATCCCAGATCCATGTGTTGTCCTAAAAGAAAAGTAAATAAAAGAGGAAAAGAATTAGCATTTCACATTTCATATCTATCATCAGTTCCGTAATTATTTAAATGCCTATGCCATTTAACTATTACAGATGGAAACAGCGGGAATTTTGGGGGAAGGGGTATTCGATATTAAAAATTTCGAATCTTTCTTTTTTCCTTATTATTCGTATCTTCCGAAATCGAACCCAAAACTTTAGCACATCAGAGATCATAATTGATAAAAATAGAAATATACTGGACTAGGGGTTGAAATAACAGTTTTTCTTATATAAAAAATTTCATTGAAGTTCTGTAAGATTTTTATATTGTTCCAAAAATTTTCAGTGCTTAGTGACTTTATGAATTCTTAAAATAAACAAGTTTTTGGTTTTTCTTGATTTTTTAAAGAAGAATTAGCATTCCATATGTAGTATTTATCTATATTATTTCTTGAAATAAGCTCTTGTCTCTACACTTGCTTTGAGTTTTAAAAAGTCTTTGGAAACGTTCAAGAGACTTGAACTGCTATTCAAATATTTTTCACCGAATTATGCTGAGAAAAATAAAACTCAAGATTAAAACTTAATTATATGTTTCACTAACTGAATTTTATCTGTACCTTCTTAACAGTACGTTTAAAAACTGGCTTGGCAAAAACGTTTTTCGTTAAACGCTGATTTTAAATTTTGCGCTACTTTAAGATATTAAATAACTAAAATTTTACGTTAAGTGTTTTCCTTTTTATTCTTCTTCTTACTATCATATGAATGATCTAAGAGTTTCTAAGCACTTTCTTCAGGATTCGTATTCGAGAAAATTCAAGATTCATATCATTTCGAATAGTTATTGTTCATTATAATTTTTAACACAATCTAACTGAACTCGTCTAAATTACATCGATTTTGCTAATTGTTAGTTTAGAATTGGTATATAAAATTAAAATGAAACTTTATTAGCTTGGTAACATTTCGATTATTCTTGTTCTTTAAAGCTATGCAAATCTACAACTACTGGATATTTTTGGGAAAACTCAAACATAACTAGAAATCCTGCTGTACCTAACTGATATTTTGAATCAATCTAATATTGTCATTCTTTTGAATTTCCACGATAGATCAAGATGAATTCCAGATTTTGCGTTAAAATTATTTAACTTTTAAAAGGGAAATAATCTATTTTGAGCAATTTCATTCCATTGGTAATTTCTAATTAAAGAAAATAAATAAGTACCTTCTTTATAAAAAATAACTTTCAATAATTAACAAATATTAAATGTATTTTAAAACATGTTACAAGTTTTTCAAAGGCTGTGAAAACAAGATACTGATTGAAGATATTGAGAATACGCTCCCAAAACGATAAAGCATTGTAATTTGCAAATTAAGTTCTTAGAAGACATTTAAATGCCAGATAAAACTTGTATATGGCTGTAAATAAATACAATGAATCTGCTAATAATAACTTCTTACTTGACATAATTTTTCATAAGAATTAAGGATATATTTTTGATCTAATAAAGCATACAAATAGTAGAATTTCGAGAAAAAAGTTCTCTGAACTTCTTAGTTTATTAGTACATAACGAACAAGGACAGAACGTTATAAAGATCATAACTTTAACTAAAGTTTCTGATGTGATTAGAAACATTTCTTTTAAACTCGGCCTTTTGGTATGGCCTGTGAATAAGACTGTTTAAAATTCGGCCCTTAAAAACATCAAAAGATAAATTGTTACACAAAATGCCATATTTCCTCCTTGTTTTCTAACGGATTTTATCGTCCGAAAATCGAGAGGGTAATATAATGGGATTAAATCAGTTTCCGAAGAACGCGGTTACAGTAAGAACCTAACAAATGAAAAGTACTCATGGATAAACTACAGGTAGTTATCACAATATAATTTCTTTAAAAGAAACCTGCATTCGAATAACAATGCATAGTAATATTAACATTACGATATCGGAAGGACATTGAGTCGATATCTGACGGCAATTGAACCATCCACCTGCGCCACTTGTTCGGCTCACTTCCTTTGTAAAGCCTCAAGCCACCTCACATGAATGGGTCTTGACCAAAGTTTCAAGAGGGACATTGGAGGAACGAACGGGAAAGGGGAGGGGCGAACAAAAGACCCAGGTTTCGAAAGATCGAACATACCACCAGTAGGTAAGGCTACAGTAAACTGGAATGTAAATAATAGAAGTAAGGGGAAATTATATGTTTGGCAAGTCTTTTAAGTGTGAGAGCAGCCGCCACATGAGGATAGTTTAAAGAAGAATGTGCTAAAATATGTTTCAAATAATAAATGTAAACGAAATTAAAATGGATGAGATGGTAATAAAAAATGCAAATTTAATACACTGAATAAAAATAAAAATAATCAAGGGAATACAATTTACCAATAAACTAGAGCTCAAAGGGAAAAACAATGAAAAACAGAGGAAGGGGCAATTATTCGAATAATTTTAATATTTTCAGAATCTAGCGCTAAAAAATTAAGGGGAAATACAGTACTTGAGGCAAGCTTAAGTGATTTAAGATACTGATCCGCAATGAAAATGCTTAAGAGAATTTCCGAATTTCACTGCAGTTTCTTCAGAAAAAATTATTTGGGAAACCAAAGTTCCATTCATTGATATTTAAGAATATATATGTTTATTTTAGAGCACTGTTGTTAAGAATTTCTTAACAATAAAATAAGGAACTTACTGATTCTCAGTAGCATAAGTTCCCCAGTGAGAGGATACCCAAGTCTTTGGGCAAATTCCTTGCAGTACCACACAGTCAGTTCCTCATTAGGAAGCACAGGCCGGCAGGTGTAGAAGTAGATCTGCTGTTTGATCTGGCAAGCCACCAAGGTCTGTCCCTCTGTCGAATAAGCAGGATTCACGTACCTCATCCAGTTGGACTTTTTAACATCCAGGCAATCGATGTAATAGAAATCGTCTGGACTGCTGTAGACCTGGACCGACAAAAAGCAAAAAAAATTCTTCTGCAGTGTGCGAAGTTTAGAGACCCCCATGAAAATCAAGTGTAACCCAATGATTTACAGATAAACCTTATCAAAATCCAAATTTACAATCTGTGTATTACATAAATTGCATTTTCTCGGCATTTTAGTTAATTTTCTGATCTTCATATAATATAATACCCGATAAGCATAATATACTTTTGGGAACATAAAGAGTAGGCTTTCAAAACATAACATACTAATATGCATTCAAACATGAGTCCAGTGCTAAAAATGCATTCAAAAACCATTTTATAGTACAGTGAAATCTCGGTTCACGAACTGAAGTCATTCCTGAAAGGCAGTTCGTCAGCTAAAAGGTTCGTAGAGCGAAACATTTTTCCCACGGGCGTTAATGTATAATGGGTTAATTCGTTAGTGGATCAGATAAGATTGCTAATTTAAATCTTATAACACTAGATGATATTGCTTAAACGCGAAATTCCCTTTCATAAATCCATCAAGTAAGTGCCTTTACGACACATTTTCTTTTAGCTTTTCTTTGACTCAAAGAGCCACTCGACTTTGCTTGAGACTCAGGACCTCCATTTCGATCAAAATATGTCCACTGTAATTTATTTTTGCCTCCGTTTTTAAATGTTTCTAAAGCGAGAAACAATATTGTCACTGAAAATACTTATGCTATAGTTTGCTACTATTTTATCAAGATGATAACGTTAAGGGAAAACTTTTTGTATTTTGTCCCTGTTTTCTCAAATTTCTCAATTCAGAGAATTAAAATACTTTTTCTTTTATAAATATTTCATTCCCAACTGCCGTTTGTGCTGCTTATGAAGTTCGTTTTCTTTCCTACTGAGCTCACGTTTTTTATGTCCTCTAGTAAGTTCGCCAAGTTTTCATTTTAACTTTCTAGCCTACGGTTTTGTCTAGAAACACGTTATCATTGATAAGAAAAGTTATTAGTACTGCTCAAGGGCTTATAAGACATTCTGGGCATAATTTTCTCCAAGCCGAATTCATGATTCTGCAAGTCACTTTCTACCAGGCTTTGTTAATGAGAATAAGGCAATGGAAAATATTAAAATATTTTCCCGAAATTCTTGAGTCTTAATAATGAGGCATTAGTTACATCAAAACACCTTTAAAAATCGTATGTTCCCGACTCGAGTATTCGTAAATTGAGACATCATTCGTCTTCCGAGGCATTTTTTGTTGAGATAATTTGTTCACGAACCGAAATGTTCATGAAGTAAGGAGTTCGTGATCCGAGATTCCACTATATTACAGAATTTAATGAAATTTAAGTATTACATATTAAGAAAAAATACATTTCATTGCACAGTAGCGGAGAGACAATGGCAATCATTATTGCTTAACAAATACAGTTTTGAAGAGATACGTTAGTAGCAAAATAACGTAATGAAAAGGAAATTTATAAAGCAGAAAATAAAGGATTTATTTAGTCAAAAATTAAGAAAATTTATGCGTTATTGAGACCACAAAAACTCTAATGTTAACGAAAAGGTACTCTTTTGCAAAACATTTGAATACATAACACATTTTAACTTAAAGAATTGAATTTAAACTGTACACTATCATCCATAAATTTGGAAGCATTCGACAATCTTTTTAAATAAATGGTTTATAATATTATTGACTAAACGTTTTAAGTTAAAATAATCGTGGATAATATAATGAAAACTCTTCATTATGGTAACTGATGTACCATTAAATAAATCGAAAAATATATATCTTTATGCAACTGCATGAACTACTGGTAGGGAAGGTGTCTAACAGAAAGCATTGAAAAACTGGGATCAGGCACAAGGCTTTCCCAGAAACAACGCTCAAATTTATTTTCATTTTCTCATATTTGAAAAGTGTGAATTTTTCTAAATTCCTGTTAAGAATTGATATTCAGGATCGAACAGTGATTCCACAAAATACTGATTTGCAAAACAACTGCTTTGAAACACTTAGGTGAGCACTTTTCACCTGAGGCAGTACTATTTTACTTAAGTGAATAATATAAAATCTTAACGTGATTTACTAAACCTGAACAGAAAAGAGGTTATTACCGCCAAATTAAACTTCGAATAACTTCAAATTCTGAAGATGAATAATTAATAATCACACTTGAACAATGTTGTTTCAAAATGGCGTTTAAAATTTCTTCAAAATTCAGGATTGTGAGAAATTTTTATATGCCCATAATGACAAAAATTCCACCTAACAGAATTGAAAAAACATTTTACTAAAAAATGAATCAAACTCCGAACTTTTCAAAAATGAGAAGGAAACGTTTATCCTCCTGGATGAACCCGATTTCTGCTTTCAGGCATAGACACGAAAACATTTGATTATTTAAGTGTCAAAATATATTCGAAAGTATATAAAAAGAAAATAATATTGCAAAGACATTAGGTGATTTCAAAGCCAGGAATCATGTAAAATGAGCAGTGCTCTCGCCGGGACTCAAACCTTGGACCTCCCGAATACGTGCCGAATATGCTGACCATTACACCACGAAAGCATGCTAAGAAGGCGGGAGGAATACCTTATACTCCCCCTTTTAAAGGGCGACTGGGGATTAGGGGACCCAATCGCCAAATCTTGGTGGTGGAGAATCACGAGTTTCTTTTTAGTTCGGGAGCCACTGTAGAGACATTAGATGGTTTCGAAAGCAGGAGTCAGGAAAAATGAGCAATGCCTTTGCGGGACTCGAACCTCGCATCTCTGGAATATGCGTCGAGTGTGCTGACCATTACACCACGAAGGCATACTAAAAAGGCGGAGAAATAAATCAAAAATTCAACATAATATCATCTCCAACAACAAGCCACATCTGTAGAGGGCCTGACTTGTTTTTCTCGAAGGAAATGATTCATGATGTTCTTCTAAGTTATACAGAAATTATCGTTTGGAAACGAAATCCGAAAAGAGCTTAAAATAATGCAGTAATCCTATAAACAACCCGTACTGTTAAGTTTCTATTGCATAAACTTGATCTAAAATTTCGAAACCTTAAATTTTTAAACAGGTTGAACTTTGAAAGCATAATGAAACGTTTTGCTTAATGATGTCAACAAATTGCAAAGGAATGTGTTAAGAAAATACCTGTTAGAATGCCTCGAATGAGCGAATATGCGATAAAAGGCAGATGCGAATACTTTAAAGAAAAAGATACATATATTTTCTCATTTAAAGTAATAAGTCGAAATAGCTTCAGTTTCATTGATAAAATACTTTTTGTTACATTATAATAACGTTTGTAGATAATTTGTTAGATTTAAAACTAAAAGGGAGGTCTTTCTATACATAAAATACCTTTTGTTACATTGTATAAATGTTTGTAGATAATTTGTTGGATTTAAAACTAAAACGGAGTTCTTTCTATACATATAAATGATACTGCATGTAAGTTTTGTTACTGACGTTTAGTTCCACGGTAAACTTAAATGTCTTCTTCTTAAAAATTAAAAATTACTTTAATTAAACTAATAGAACCTATTAATTGACCGTTTCCTAGAAGTATATTAGACTAATTTGACAACAATTTTACAATAAGCAAGAAAGAAAGTAAACGAAAATGCAGATTTCATCATAAATTTGTCAAAAATAACTTCGGTAGATGAATTTATGAGCTGAGAAAAATATTTTTCTGGCTTTAATTAGCAATAAATTACAAAGCAATTGATAAATTGAATTAATTAGTAAAAAGTTTACTTAAACCAAAAAATATCAATAAATCAGTAATTAGTTAGCAATGAAATAACTATAAACACATATATCCGTAGAAAAGAAAACAGCGTAATTTTGGCAGTCGTGTTAAAAATGTAATATAAGGAAATTTATCAGAATTTGAAAAGTTTTCATAATAAACTTTCTTATGAGATGCGAAATGCTTCAGAGATTGTTATTAAATAAGAATGAAATAGTGTAGAATAAATAACATAAATATATAGCATTCAGTTATACCATGAGAAATTCACTATTTCGAAAGACATGTATATGTTTTTTAGATGCCAAAAATTAATACCTTTAATATGACAAAATTAGAAATGTGCAACTCTTTATTTCAGAATAAAGTAAAATAATTAATATTTATGAATATTTTTGCAACTCTAAAATTAGAAATGCATAGCAAAGGAATCTAACAAAATATCCTTACCCTCCAGAAAAATTTTCTGTTCGCTTCTGGTGGCACCTCGTCCTGTCTGTACACGTGACCAACAAGGGGCCCAAATCGAGTGCCCCTTGGTATGTAGTCGGTGCTCCAAATTCCCTGCACCTGTAAAGAAAATTGTTTCCTTAAATACCATGTTTTAAAATGAAAGCTAGCATTAATTCTATCCTAAAATACGAAAACAACCTAAATCTTTATGTTGAAATTTCAATTAAAATTGTGCCCGTATACTGTATAATACAACTGCCAGTTGTAATTATATTTACTCGACGTATGGATAAGTCGTTTCAGATATTAAACCTGAAGAAAATTAAATTTTAAGCCTCAGTGACAAATCATTGATACGTTGTCCCATCCTATAAATAATGCAGTTCTCCCTACTTGTCTTATTTTTCAAAATTAAGATAGTAGAGTCATTAGATTATATCGATGCATGAACATGAAGAAAGTGCAAAGCACTCGCTAGGATTCGAACTCCGGCCTTCTCGTACACTCATCCCGCGTGTTTCCAGGTACACCACGAAGGCAGGAGGATAAGAGGGAGAAAATACCTTGTGAGACAAACAAAGACAAAAACAAAACAACACACTCTTCTTCATCGTCTACTAGATCGTCAATATTTACGATGGGAGTTTGTTCCGCCAATGTTCATAGGATGTTCTTGTTGAGTTCTGTAGATGTTCTAGGAAGAGGTTTGTGTTCTAGGCTGTAGCTTCTGGCTCGGATTTCTGAAGGCACCATTGACGCTGGCTTACGTTTATTATAATATAATTCCCTATATACTGCATTAATATCCTATTAATAATTCTTTAGCTGAACTTTAAAGGAAAATATGCGGAATATGCTCTTTTATAATGTCTATTTAACTATGAAAAATAACTGTTAAAACGGAGCTACCCTCTTCAAAACTTGCGGTAAGAGTAAGAACAAGGTAAAATTACTAACTGCTTTTATAGCAAGCTGATGTAGGTAGTTTATTCCGTTCCCTTTCGAATTTATTCCAGTTGAAAAAAAAACGAGTTATATTTCACGGAAAACATAACTATTCCTCCTTAAATGGACATTTAAATAAAATTTTTTTTTTTACTTTTACTACAAATGAAATGCATAAAATTTTACTTAGAATCACGATCAGAAAAAAAAATGCACATAAAAGCTTTTGTTAAAATTGGAAAAGATAATTTAGCTGGCAACGTTTTTAGCCCAGTTCTGAGAAAAAATACATTTTTCTTATGAGAAGCGATAGCTGAAATTGTATACTTCGTTGTTTTCATAACACTTTAGGCTAGTAATAAGTAATATTTGCTCTTAAAACTTAATTGATTAAACTGGGAGCTTTGATTCAAAATTATAAAATAATAAAAATTAATTTCATTTATATTTTAAATGCGAATATACAGACCGTACTGACACTGAATGTAAATACGAAATGTAATATGTCATATAAAGATATTTCTTCTCCCTTCAGTGAAGATTTTATGATTTTGCTACTTCTAAAAATATAAAATTCTTCTTAAAACCGCGATCAGAAAGCGGAAGTACACATGAAATCTTTTAAATAAAACTGGAAGAGACAGTTTAGTTCGCCTGGTTTTAATCCGTAATGAAAACAAAAACTGCACCATCTTTTTAGTATACTTCTGAGAAAAACGAAAACCTTTTTTTTTACCAAAAACAAAAGGTAAAGTTATAAAGCACATCATTTTCATAGCACTTCAGATTAGTAAGATTTGCTTTTAAAACCATATTAAATTCCAATTTTTAATTAAAATTTCAATGAAAAATTTAGGTTATTTTCGTATTTTAAATGAGAACATATGACTGTACATGCTCCGTGGATATCACTAAATGTAAACATGAAATATATCACTTAGTTTATCTTTAATTACAAAATACGTCAAATTGACAAACCTATGATGCACTTTTAATTCGTTTACGTCAACGTAATGAATAGCTTTCGCAGGCAAAATCCATCCTTTCAGCACTGCCTCAAGATTAAATATTTTGCAGAAATAAACAGGTCACAGATTTTTAGAAAGAAAATAAATGCTATAATCCACGTGCCTTGTTTCTAAACACGAATGTGGGTACCAAAAGGGAAAACTAAATTTACAGATATGAAGCCGACATTGATAACTACCACTAGCAAAGGAATACCCGCCTTTGTAAGTTGTTATCACAGCTCGTTGGCAGTTGCTGATTCAGAGCCTTCTTTTCAAGGTTGCGCGTGGCTAGGTTGAAAAAGCAGAAAAATAACGGTATTCCAATCAAATATGTTTATCTTCGTGATGTTATCGGAAATTACGTTGAACGTTTCTGAGTTTATTCCATCATTGTGTACCTGACTCCAGTTCCACACTTGTGAGGAAACTGATCAGCAAGGAAGTGAATTTAATTTCCCAACTGAAATATTACAAATTATATCCTTTATTGACTAAATTTAAAAAGCAAAAATACATACAGTCCGATATGTAAAAACAAATATCAAACTGCAGTTTTTTTCAGTGGGTTTTTCGAACAGAATTGAGATAATATTACATTTAAAATTAGAAAAAAAGGAAATTTTTTATAAAATGAGCTTTTGTTTAGAATTCATAAAATAATCAGAGAACTAAAGAAAACAAGAGATTAAATAATTATCTTTGAAAAATTCATCAAGCATTTTATATCCCCAATAATAAAAGCCTCACGCCCTTAAAAATTCATCAAGTCAGTGCTTATTCTTTACAAACAATGACAATGAAATTAGATAATTTGATTTCTTTATTAGCTGAAACAAATCAGAAACTACTGTAAAATCTCATATAAACTTTATTTAAAAAAGATTTTTTCCCTCGCTCTATGTGATCATACAAACAGTAAAATTCTGACATTTTGTTTGTTCATCGAACGAAGATATGTGCGAAAAATCATTGTAATGTTAAATTAAATACCCAATTTTGAAACATTCACATTTCATTCTCATCCACAAATAATGCGTGTGAAAAACATGAACTCAACGTCTTATCAGGAAACAGGTTAAAAGTCGACGACAAACTTTCTATTAAAGCACTAAAAACCATGACTGAACCGAATAAAAGCTTATAGAACGAACAGTATCCTCGTTGGAATTCGAACCCCTAGACCTCCTGATGGCCGACGTGCTTCAGAATACATCTCGAAAGCATGCGGTAAGGAAGGAGAATATTCCTTAATTTCTCTCCTACTTAAAGGACTATTAGAGAGGAGGGGATACTAGCTCAAAATCCAGGTGGTGATGAATTATCTCCCACCAACTTTTAGTTCGGGTACTAACTTTAGAGACATTTGGTTTTATAGACATTTGGATGTACTTCCAATAACACGACGGAGGAACACTCTACGGAAAGAAAATTTTCCTTTCATAATCAATCCCTAATCAACAAATCCTGTCTTAAAGAATTTGATTTATTTACTGTCGAATAAAAGAAAAGTTACCATAACAAGCCAGCAATAAATTTGTCAATGATAAATATGACGTATCTTCAGCTCGACAAACCATTTATTCTCGACACAGATGCGAGCAATGAGAGGGTCGGTGCTGTTTTGTTCCAAGAAGTAAACGGTGAAGAATGTGTCGTAGCATAATGCAGCAAGTTTCTAACTAAACCGGAGAGGAATTACTGTGTCACCAGGAAAGAGTTTCTCACCATAGTTGAAAGCCGTAGAACGTTTCCAGCATTATCTCTTTGGCAAAAAATTTCTGCTCCACACAGAACATACATCATCTGGTTGACATCGTTGACTATCGAATTTCAAAATAATACATCTTAAAATTTTAAGGATCATGAAGGTCAAATAGCCAGGTGGATACAGAGACTTCGTCATCGGAAGAGATCACCACATGGAGACGCCCTGTCTAGAAACCTTGCTCAGAAAGGTGTCTATATTGTTCCAGGGTCAAAGCGAAATAAGAGTTATTTAATCTGGTTTTACGTCAAGTTATGAATTCAACATCGTGTGACCCAGATACATGGAGGGACGAAGTCAGGAAAGACCAGTTGGAAGACTGCGACATTCCAAGATTCCGAATCCTAGATGTTTTTAAAGAATTACATAGCCGTGCTGCAAGAGATCACTTCAGAAAAATGAAGAATTTGCATAGAGTTTGAGAGCGCTTCTACTGGAGTAATACAAGAGCTGACGTGCAAAAGTGGTGCCAATCTTGCAATACTTGTGTGGGTCCGAAAGGACGGAAGAAATGCAGTCGAGGAAAGCTTATAAGGTATTTCTTCAGCCTTCTTAGCTTGCCTTCGTGGTGTAATGGTCTCGGCGCGTATTCCAAAACTCCGTGGTTCGAGTCCCAGAAAGGGCACTGCTAATTTTTCATATCTCCTGCTTCTAAATAACCTAATGACTCTACAGTGGCGCCCGAATAAAAAAGGTGGTAGATGATCGTTCTGCACCACCAGAATTTGGCGATTGGATCCCCTAATCTTCAGTTGCCTTTTAAAAGGGGGAATATATAAGGTATTTCTCCCACTTTTTTAGCATGCCTTCTTTGTGCAATCTAAGAGCCCCTTTTGAAAACATCGCCTTTGATATTCTGGGCCTCTGCCATGAGCTGCCATATAGCAACAAATACATCCTCGCTGTCAATGATTGCTTCATCACACAGTAGCAGAGCTAAAGATACAGCATTGGATTTCCAGGTTCAGAGTGCAACTTCAGTTACATTATGATCAAGGAAGAAATTTTACCTCGGCTGTAATTAAAGAACTCTACAAACTATTCAGCATCGATAAAATCCAGATGACATCTTTACATCTCCAGTCAGACGGCATGGTAGATAGGTTTAATCGAACCCTTCTTAATAACCTCTCGCTGGTAGTTTCCAGAAACCATCAGGACTGTGTCAAGAAGTTATCTCTGTTTTTACTGGCCTATCGTAGTGCTACCCATGAGACAACCGGCTAATCCCCATCCCAGATATTCTTCGGTCGTGACCTTCGTCTGGCTTGTGATCTTTTGATTGGTCGCTCTTCGAATGCACCTTCATCGCCTGAGGAATACATTCAGGATCTCCAGGCAAGTGATGCACAATTTTCCACGAGAACGAGTTAGGTGAAGAAAGGTGACAGTGTGTG